TCTGTGTATTTTTTATGATATTGAGATATATTTTTGTTTTTATTGTTGTTTTTTTTATACTTAAGTAGAGTTTAAATGCAATACTTTTATACTGTTTTGCTACAGTCAAACAAACATAGGAATTTCTTTCACCAAGTACATGTGACTTGTATTTATCTGGCAAAAACATGCATTGTTATGGTCCTTTAGGTGTTAGCATTAATTCCTATATCAGCTATCTATTCTTATATATTCTGACATTGCTGAAGTTAAGTCTGAACATTAGTCCATTTAACGGCACTGTTCTGCAGCTTGTCCTGGTTGATTCACACAGACGTCCTGACACATGCATGTCCATTGATTTTCTGTGTTAAAAACATCACGTTGACACCGAGGAACTGCAGCCATGCTATTCATGGTATGCCGCTCCACTCTGAGTAGTCCTACATGACCCCTGAGGTCAGGATTAGGAGGCTGTCCGAGTAGCCACAGCTAACCTTTTTAGTGCTCAGCAACAGGCTGTCAGCATTCAGATCATGTATTTATGACTCATTTGTTTTTTTGTTCATTTCAGCCTCAATAACACATAAATAGTTCAGAGCCATGCTGACCCTAATCTGGTCAGAACAGGAAAGTAGGTACATAATTTGCTGCAGTCACACTGGTTTAAACCAGAAAAAAAACTGACTCCATACATTGGTTTAAAAAAAATAAAGGAAGTGTTTTGAATTTTGTACATCAGCAGTTCAAAAAGAAAAGTATTCAGAAATAGCTAAAGGATGGTTAGCGAGCTTCAACTCTTCTGTGACTGTTTCAGCACTGAGTTAAAATTGGATGCATATCTTGTATAACTGCTGGACATAAACCAAAACTAGTACATGTTTGTGTTTAATTTTGTGGTTATTATCTCCTTTTTTTAAAATGATTTCAGTTTCTTTTCATTCTATTTACCGTATCAGTATTTTGAAAGGTAACTTAAAGCAATGTTATGAATGTGGAATGATTGCATGTCTATTGATTTCCATGCTACTAAATCCATACACAAAACACAAATGAAAACATGGCTGATATTGTAGGAAATGTCTTCTTCTGCAGGATATCCATAGGAAGCACAGAAGAGAAAAATAAAAATATGTCAAAAACCAAATTTTTCTCCCAGTAATATTTGTTGCAAGAATCAGAAAAAAACAAAAACCAGACAGTAGCCTGTGAATGGAAATGGGGCACGGCTTCATTCAGCCACTCACTGTAGATTTTAATCTGATTAAGTCATCTCACTCCTACAGACCGCACACTTAATATGGGATTATTCTTAAGATATAGAATTCACAGCAGTGCAATTTGCCTCTGCTTTATTTATAATGCAACATGTTCCTACATTGCAAAACCGTCCAATCGGCTCAGTAGCTAATACTTTTGTGCTGCCGGTGAGCTTTCTCTCTCTCTGGGGCCTTGTTGAAAGGCAACAGAGAGTTTCACCTCTTGACCCTGCTGCTTCAGTTTGACTTCCATCCTTTCATTCGCGTCCACGTGTGACCGTCTCTCTGAGTTTTCCTCTCGTTTCTCAATGAATCAGTGCTCGCATCAGCCGATAGCTATCACTCACACCAGCTGCCTGCATTATGTCATATTTCAGAATTAACTGATAATAAGGCGTTTCTGTCAGAGACATAGCTTTCACAGAAATCCTGTAAAGATTCCAGTAAATACTATTTTAGTTCAATAAACAACAGGACATGATTATCTTGCACCAAAACATGCTGCTGCTTTGATTGAGGATGTAAACAGGTAGTGAATTAGCAGTGGTGATGGAGATGGCATTGTGGCATGAATGCCGTGCACACAAACATGTCCGGGAAAAAAAAAACGATCTCAGATATTTTCAGCCTCTAATGGTGTTAAATACGTAATCTTGGTGTTTTTCCATGTGTCTGTCTGAGTGTGAGAACATCACAGGATCAAAAGGAGAATCAAGTTAAACAATGGTTGGGCTGCACACAGATTTTCCTTCCTCATCTTTTTTTTTTCTCCCTCAGTTCCCTAAAATAACAGAAAATCTTCTTCTGTTCCATGAACAGAAAAACCAAACAGACACAGTCGGGATAAAAATCTGACGTTGGATTTTTAGATTAAGTCATTTCCTCAGCATGTGATCTGGAATTAAATTAGAAGGAAGGTAACAGACAACTGAATAAATGTAAAAAGAACACAACCCTTCGAGTAAGAGATTTGCTGCATTTTTTTTTTTTTTTTACCAGAAGAACAAAGTCTATGTGTGAACATGGAAGATACAACATGTGAATAAAAAATCTGATATAAAAGCTTGTATTTTGGAATTTTACAACTGCATCAAACGTTCTTTTCACATCACTTAAAAACGTATAATTCAAAGAGGCAAACTGCTCCTGTCAATTTTTATCTTTAAACAAAATATTGTGATTGCAAGTCCAAAATCATAAATCACAGGCTCAGTTCTCACGTTTATTGTATCTAGTAAGAACACTGTGGGTTTCCATCACATCATAGTTTTTCTTTTTGATATTTAATTAGACCTGTCAGTGATTTTAAAACTGTGCATCTTGTGGTAAGTGCAAAACAAATTAATTCTATAACTATTCTGTCATCTACTTAATAAAGTTTGGACTGATTTCCATGACTTGTACAAGCACTGGGAGAACAACAGAGACAAACCACCTCATCACTTCAAATGGACATTTCTCTACATGCCGTTGCACTGAAACACTGCATCACATCTTCGTTTAATCAGTTTGTACTAAATTATACATTTCTAAACATTTCATACTTGTGGCCGATGCGTTGTAGTTTATAGCTGTTTTAGGTTTTGCAAAACTAAGCAAAAGCTCTTCTTATACGGTCTGCTGAATATTGGCAATTCAGTGAATCTGAGTTATACAATTATAAAGATTAAATTCACAATTATGATGCACAAAAGAGCATTCAGGAGTTTTTTTGAGCTGTCAGAAAATAATGGAAAATGTTTAATTTCTTGTCATTTGTTATTTGAATTCAGTAAAACCACAAAACTTGTATTCATACAAAATTAAGAACATTAAAATATAGCTCAAGGAGCATCATGAGAACTGAGGACAGCAGTATGCAGCTCATGCTGTGGAGAAGCTTCTCACCTTGTAGAGTTAAGAGATAATTGAGAAACTTATTTTGTTGGAAGTTTTGAGGGAGAAAAAAAAATATTTTATTTGAAAGATAAGGAGCTGATTTAACTTGTTAAATATCAATCAAATAGTATTTTTGGGGGAAACAACTTGGATTATTATTATTATTATTGATTTTTGTGCCTTGTTGGTCTTTTGATGTTTGTTTTTCATCCCAAAGATATTTAGTTTAATACAAGACAAAGTAAATCAGCAAATCTCCACTCCTGCATTTTGCTTGAATTAATAAAAGATGAACGAACAGTGCTAATTAATTGAGTCAAATAACGGACTGACTTGGTTCTAGTGATGGATGTGCAGCTCGGCGGGCCTGCTGGTGATTTTAATTTACCTTCAATACATCCACAGCAGCCTTCTCTGACCGATAAATCAAGCTCTGTCCGCTGCAAATTACTGGTAGGAGTAACTGTGTTACTTTTTAACGCGTTACCACCTGACAGTGGGATCAGTTTGTTGTGTAATCCAATAAGCTCCAGTCCGTATTTCCCCTCAAGCCCATCTGGCTCACTGGCAGGGTTTGTTTACTGGCAGAGAGGCTGGGAAGAAGGGGATCCTACAGGACCTGGGAGACTGTACAATCTACCTCTGTCCGTGGAAGAAAAAAGGAAATACCAACTCCAAACTCCAGCTCACCTGCTTTTCTCTTATTCGGAGAAAACCCTCGGCTGTCGTACCAGACAGCTGTGCAGTGCATGAACACAAACTGGAGCATGGACTTTTTTATTTTTTAATTCCTAAACAAAAACAGGAGAGTGGAGTGCTGCTGAGCCGCGACGAAGTCTGTCTATCAGCCCTTTAAAGAGTGGAGGTCTCACTGAAACCTCTGTGGAAGAGTTGTGGAGCTAGCCAGGGGGGAGAAAAAATTAAGTTAAACAAGCCAACGGTGCTGTTTTTGTGCTCGCTGTGGGACTTGAGAGGATTTTTACGAAAGACGCGCTAACGTTACGCCACGCATGCCACAAGCATCGAGTCAGCAGCTTCAAACCCTCTGAAGCTCGCTGTTCATGCGTGGCTCGTTTCTCTTTCTAACGAGAAAATGCATTGCAGCTACGTGGCTGTTTGTGCCATTTCTTGAAGTTTGAATTAATTGAGAGAGTTGCTGGAAAGCAGCGCAAACTTCACTTTTGGCCTGGACCAGAGTGGAGGAGCCAGGCTGTGCAGCTAGCTAGTTAGCTGGCTGCATAACTGTTGTTTGCTAGCACTAGCGCTAGCTTATATTCGGCCAACAAGTCAGTTTTTCGCTCTTTTTTATTTTTCTTTTCTTTTTTTTTTTTTTTTTTTGTTTTACCAGTACGAACAAACTCAACTGGGGCAGCTTAGCTAACCCAAAGTCGCAGCAAGAATGCCCAGAGCTGCTGTTCGTTAATGGTGGTTTCCATGAGGCGGCTAACTTTAGCAGCAGCCTTAGCTTGTGTTTGATTGAACACGTTGGACTTGTTCCTCCGCCCATCTTCCGGGATGTCTTTTATTTATTTTTGTTTACCTGTTGGCCCACACCGCAAAACAAAACCTGTTTCCTGAAGGTATTTCTTTTCCAGTTCGAACTGTGCTCTTCGCCAGGAATTATTCAGTGTTTGATCCGGAGCAGTGCTGGATGGTGTCAGTGATGTGGCTCCGGACTTTGTGTTTGGGTTTTGTGTTGACCGCTGTCTGGTTGGTGATGAGCTGTCATCGAGCGACGGGCGAGAGTAAGTAACACCAATTATCACATTTTAATCCAGTTACTACTAATTATTGTAATTGTGTAACATTGTCCGAATGAGGGACTGGCTGCGCTGCACAGCGGCTTGTGTTTACACTGAAAGAAAACATGAGTTGTGCAACATAGTAAGAACCCGACTGTCATACATTTTAAACACAGAGCCACACTTTAATCTGCTTAAAGCCAAGTCGTGCGCAATTTTCCAGAAAAAGCAAAGTACTGCGCAATTTTCTATCTGTTGCAGGTGAGAGGATTAACACTTCAATCTAAAAATCATTCTTCAGTTGTACCAAGATAATGGGAAATTGATTATTAGATTTTTACAACAAACATCCAAAGGTATTGATATTTAGCATCCAAGTAATTGTAACGATAATTATTATAGTGAACTAAATTCATATTAAAAACGATATACTTTTTTTTGTTTTTGCATTTAAATTAAATAGACTTACTGAGAATTTCTATCTGCATACAGCTGATTAGTACATATACCTGCTGCAATGTTGGCATACAGATTTTTTTTTTGTTTTGTTAGTGATGGTGGATTGATAAAGGCATGCAGGCAAAGGCAGTGCTGTTGTAGACAGTCACTTCATTGAAGGGACAAAGGTTAACACTTATCGGCTATGTGAGCCTGCAGGAACTGTAAACAAAATGTTTAGTCCCAATTTAAAAAAGTAGTCAGAGAATTTAGTAGAATTAATTTGTTGTTATTGTAGATGTAAAGGCCGGACTTGTTGCTGTGGTTGGTTGAGGAATGTAACAATAAGCCCTCTTTACAGCTCCTGACAATCCCTTTATATTCAGCAGCCCGGGTGATAAGAATGAATGAACGCATTTGCAATCGCCCAAAGACATTTTCACATTTCTCAAACACCACAATGACTGCACACAGTCACTGTTTTACACCGTTGGAATTTTCACTTTATGCAAATATTGGTTATACTTATGAGGAAATGTGTAGTAAACCTGTGGGGCTGCTTACTGTTGTACTGCGCAGGAAGAGTGCATTTCTAGATGACTAAAACAGACACCAGCGCAATAAATGTGACATTACACAGATCCCCGAATACTAGGAAAAGTGAGCAATGTAATGTGGTGATTTATAGGTGAAGATGAAGAATCTCTGAACTTATTTGTCTGCAAGCAGCCCTTCATGTGGGATCTCTGCTGTCAGGGGAGCATAGCTAGTGAAGTGATGATCAGCCGAGAACATTGGCTTGTGTTCAGTCCATCTGTCATTACTTTATTTTGAGTTTTTCATTTTTAAAGTATGGATTAAAAATAGCTGCCAGACAACTAAGTCAAAACAAAACCAATTCAGAATCAAAATAAGACTTTAATGCTGCCTTTATAGATCCATTTGGCAAAATTAATTACCAGTGTGTTTTGTGATTAACATGTACATAAAAGAATATCTTCACTCTAAACAATTTGACAAAACACATTGCATGTCCATTCATATTATATTAGTTTCCGGGCAAATATTACAAATGCTTTCAGATGTTCTCTTGTAAATACTATAAAAAAAAAACACTTTACTTTTATTAATCCTGCAATTCTTTGACACAATCACATAAACGCAGTAAATAGCATTGCACTTATTTCCAAAACAGATTACCAAAAGCTCCTACCATGTGCTTTATAAGATGTTTGTACACTGCACATATGCCCAGTCAGTGTGTAGTTTTTGAACTCATGCAGCTACAACATGTTGCGTTGGTTTGACGTAAGAGGCACGCTGAGGGAAAAGAAAAGTACAGGTTCTCTCTCACCTTTCATCAGATTTTTTAGTTGGGGCGAATGGAGCGATGTCATCGAACCAGTTTAAACGAGAATTTTTAAGACATAAATCAAAAGCAAGTTGTGTAATTGCATCGCGGCCCCCCTCTCGCTCCTCTCAGACTTGAGAATGAACCACAGAAGGGAAGAGTGGAACCTGGGCCTCACACTGCCCGGTTTCATAAGCTGGACTGACTGGTGTTGAAGTCAGAAAATCTTCTGAGCTACTTGTTGGTTGCAGTCCAGCTCAGCTTGATGGAAAATTTCACTTAATAATGGAAGCTTATATTTAGTGGCAGTGTGAATTGATTTAATTTACTTAGCCTCAACTGGCTATTGAACATTTTAAGGCCATTTTATCCATGTATGTACAAATGTGTCGTTATTGCCTGTTTCACATTTTCAACTTGACCGCATGTAACAAAACTGCATTTGAGTAACATAACTAAGCATCTGTTTTTCTAGAAAATGAATACCTCATGAAACTCAGTAGTTTGTTCAACAAACGTGTCCCAAAAATCCTAAACTGTGTGAATGAATAAGTATTCCCTCTGCTACACAGTAAAAAAAAGAGAAAAAAGATGTTTTTAAATCTGCTTCTCGCAAAGGTGGTAATGGAAAATAGCACGTCTGTGTCATGACCTGAAACAAAATTTAAACACTGCTATTTATATACTTAAATGTGCGTTTTCTTTTGAGTTTTTGACACTCTCTGTATTGGTTTATGGTGTCTGTCTATTTTATTATGTTAATGTTGTTGTTGGAGTTTGGAGTATTACTTTTTTGTTACCTGGTGTTTCATGTACTCAAGTATAACGGACATTTTTGCTCATCAAATGGTTTGAAAAAACAGGAAAGATTTCTGTCAAATAAGGTGACATTGACTCACTATGCAAGGACTGCTAATGCTTTCTGTCGTGGATAGTCATGCTCCAAAGGCCCATTCAGAGCCAGGAAAAACTGTAATATTATGTTGAATGTTGTCCTATGTATTCTGTTGTTAATATTCTGAGCTAACAGAGACGTTTGTAGTTTTTGCTTGAACGTTACCGTGAATGCAATGGCAATGCATAAAAAAGCAGAAGCAGCTTCCAGTTTTGTTTGCCTGACATTGGGTTATTGGGTCACAGGTGGTCGGATTGTGTTTTTGTGCATTTACAACACATCACATTAAGAGCGTCAAACAGCAGTGGTTTGCACCGAAGTCGTTGGCTTCCTGTTGTTGAGCACCAATCTGTTAAAAAACAGTCGTGTAATCGGGCAGTAATCTAGCGACCTGGCGCCTCTGATTTACGCCTCCTGACATGGAGTGCAATTGTAAAGTGATGAAATTGTCTCCTGCTACACACAAACTGCTACTGCAGTCTCAAGTGGCAAAGTCATGAGTGCATTTGACATGTACACAATAGAATGATTTTTGCACCTGTCACCTTCAACAATGGTTGTCTTCTCCTGGTTGACAAGTTTGTGTGCGAAAATTATGTACTGCTTGAAGACTAGCACACCTGCACGCTTTCATTTTGGCCACATATGCGTCTGACACCTTGTGTTGGATTTTTTACCCTTGACACTGTGCCATTGTTTAAAGGGAAGGTGCTTGTTATTGTGCTCTCACACTTTAGAGTTAATTATTACCTCCGTGCCAGTTTTGTTTTCAGTGCTCACATGAACTTAAATTATGAATCCTGACGATGAAGGCCAGTAGTAAACATGACATTACACGTTGACTCCTGACATTTCAGTGTCAAAGTACTGTATAGTCTCACAGGGGTTTTTTAAAGCAACAGATGTGTTAGATTCAACATGTAGATGATAGGGTGTAATTTGTATTTTTGCATAATATTAATTGTCGTGGAGGATAATGTGAAGTGAGTGCCGCTGGTGGGCAACTGAATCACCAAATGATCTTTGGTCCAGAGCCACGGTACACACATCACACAGTCCAGAGAGAGAACTTTGTGGTCTTACAGGCTTTTATGTGCTTTCTCTTTTACTCAGTTTCACTCTAATTCAAGAGGGACCTGAATGACTTTGTTTTTTGTTCTTTTGTACTTTATTGTTAACGTCCTGTTATTTTCACGTCACCTGTATCAAACAGCTGACAAGTTTGGTCACAGGCACTACCCTTCCGCCTGTTTACAAGACATTTATAGCTATATACCTATATAGTTGAGGATGGCCTTGACTCTTGAACAATTTTCCGAGAAGGTTGTATCTAGCAGAGTCATAGTAATGTCGTTCTCTAAGCACTGTGATATCTAACTGTGTGCAGTTTAAAAGATGACACCCTTCCACAGTAGTGTTAAAGCATGATGTTACATATAAACAAGACAGTGTTTTCCAATAAATGTCATTATTTTTCCACTTCAGAAATGGTAAATTAAAGAAGGTTGTTACATTCGGCATCAATAGTAACAGAATTAGAATACAGTGCTGAGAGCCAAAGTTAGTACAGCCTTCAAAGTAATAAGCACTAATTTTAAATTTACTGATTTCTTATTGTTTCATAAGTCTTAACCTGCCTGTTTGTAGGTATGAAACTGTTGCTTCTCGTCTAACTTTGGAATGGGAAGAATCAGTGTTGGTTTCTGTGTCAACCAGGCTGTCAAGACGCCAAAGAACATACTGGTCTTCTTGCAGTGGTTCTTCTTGGGGGTTGTGTTCTGTTGGAATGAAGGACTCGTCGAAAACACTGGTGACTTGAACAATGGTGTGGGTAATCCTGTTGAATGTTGATCCATGGAGAGTACTGCGGTTAGTAATCTTGACGCCCTCAGCTACAATGTTGCCCTGGTGTAGTAGGTAGTACTCATGGCTGCGTTTCACTGATGTTGGTGTATTCGTTGGTGGCTCAGCTGAAGTGGGGGATGGACCAGACACTGAGGGAAGCTCGTCAAGCTGGAATTCGGTCACCCGACTAGTAGTCGACACACAGTCATGTCCAGAGGTTGAATCTGTGGAAAGCTGGAGTAGAAGTGTTGCTGCAGATGTCTCTGGTTCATTCTTTACAACATAAAATGAGATAATAAAGTTTAATATATTTACAAAAATAAAAACACACTTCTGCAATTTGTTGTCAATGTCAGTGGTAATTAGGACTACTTACATCATCATGGTCAGAAGGTCCTTCCTCCTGTATCTCAGTCTCTGCTTCAAACAGTGAGGGATCAATGGTCTCTTCACTTAGTGGTCCCTGTACAAACGTAAAATTATTATAAATAAATCAGGGCATGTTTGTCGTTGAGCAAGAGTTTAATTACCCATTTGCAAGCGTAATATTATGATAAATAAATTCATCAAGACACATTAATCATTCAGCAAGAGTTAAATCAAACATAAAACGAACATACCATTAGTGTTAATCAGTCTGAACACGTTTATCATTCAGCAAGAGTTACATTTCACATTTCTGTAATTTTCATGTAATTGTTCAAATTTAAAGGTTACGGTTTTCAGAGAATTACCTGTTTTGCCAATTGTTGCAGCAGAAATAAGTCCTGGTGAGGTTTCTGTCTGAAAACAACCTCATAGGGTGTTTTACTGGTGGCAGATGCTGCAGATGTGTTGATGGCATGTGTGACAAACTGCAGTGCTGTTGACCAGGTTCCACCACGCTCTTCCAACCATTTCCCCAGTTTCAGCTGTAAGTCTCCATTTCCTGCAATCAGAAAACATCATACGGATTAGTTTAATCTTAGTCACAATGAAATCCAAAAAGACATAAAGAAATTGATTATTTGGAAATCAAATCATAGTACGTTCTACACAGCCTTGGCTCTGGGGATGCCTTGGTCTTCCGTGGACTATCAACAGGCCTGGCCACAGGTTGGTAATCTCAGTGATTACTGATGCTACAAATTCCCCTCCATTGTCAGATTGAAGTATCCTGGGAGGACCGAACATGGAGAAGAGCATGACCAGTTTCTGTGCAACCTGAAACATTACAAACAAACAAGAATATTGTATAAATTAGGGAAGTTTTTTGTATAAATACTCCGATGTCAGGTGAGGGTGGGGTCTAATTTGTGTGATAATCTGCAAATGTAGGGTGTGACTTGGCAGGTGTGACCTTAAGTATAAAAGCCTTGATTAAACCGTTTCTTCTGTGAATTGTAAATGTACATACCTCACTAGCCCTCTTTGATGTCAGTGGAAATGCCCAGGAATACTTGGAGAAATGGTCTCTGGCATGTAGAATCCATTTGTAATCGTCATCTGGCTTGCTTGTCATATCTATGAGGTTGACTTGTACTCTGGTCAGGAACCCGAGTGAGATGGTTGGTTTTGCTGATGTGGGCTGTTTCAGACTCTGACGTGTGCTGCAAGTGAGGCAGGTTTGAAGGTAAAGCTCTACAGCAACTCTTGGTATGAAGGCATAGTTGTTCTTCACCTCATCCCAGGTCTTGTGGCGCCCAGAATGCCCTGTTCTCTCATGGCACTGTTGAATAGTGGAGAAGAGGTCCTCCCTGGTGATGACTGGATTGACTGTTTTCTTACAGTAGAGTACTGTCTTGCTGCCTGTAAACAAATATATGTATATATCTGGATGCTTACACTTCTACAAAACAGTTATACTTATCATTGCTGACATTCTCATATTGTCAATGACAATACACAAAAGCTAAAATTAAATCTCAAACGTATTCATCTTTAGTAAGACTATCTGTTGCACAGATTTTCTATCCATTTTGTGCATGACAAATACATTTTTCATGTCTATTAGCAATCCAAATAATATTTAACAATAATAAACATCATTCTTATGTTACTTTGTTGCAAGGAAATTCTATTATGTAAATAATGATATTGAAGTAGTGAAAGGTACTTACCAATACATAGAGTCTGAAAATTGTTGAGGCACCAATACTTGAACTTTGCACCGTCTGGACACGGTTCTCCTTTGGTCAGTGCTAAAGCTGCTATGATTTGCTTGTACTGATCATTGCAGACTAAGAACTTGCCTTTCTTCTTGGGACAGAGTGAGGCAATGTGGTTGTCTAACAGCTGCTCAAATCTGGTGTGTTGCTCCATGGTCGACAGTAAGTGAACTGATCGTGTCGTCCGTAGGAAAAAAAATGAAGATTCTATTTCAGGCCGGTCTAGAATAGAATTCTGATCTGGGCCAGCCCAATTTGGAATTGGGCTGGCCCAGATCAGAACTCCCATCGGGCCTGATTCCAATCTGGGCCTTGACATAATGTCAGTTTGGCTACAGTGAACGTCCATCTCAGTGACCTCGGCATTCTGTGGCTCTTGGGTTAGTTTCAGCCTACGTTGGGAAAACAACAGAACAGCAAAACCTTGAAAAGGGAAGTGTTGCAATCACTGTGTGTTTTTTGTTCCTGCATGCTTATTGAGGCCTCAGTACTCTCTGAGGCCCAGCGATAATACACACCATCAGTATAACAACCTGTAGCCCCCCCTCCCTCTCCTCCCCTCCTCATCCACTTCCTTCTCAAGATCAGAAGCTGTCGGTGCCTGTTGATGCTTGTAGCTGTAGTGAAAGGATTGTGGGTTTGTACATTGTACCACTGAGCTCAAAATTGGACAGATTGTCAAGCACAGACTGTGCAGAGCCTTTGGCAGAGATATGTACAGTATTTGTGTTTTGCATTAGCACCTGAGCAACGTATAGATCACTGCATGTTGTTTTAAATTTAGGTGCACCTTGTGACCTAGACATGATTTACATCAAGCATTCATAATCGTATCTGAGGACAATGACATGCCATAACTGACATTGCATTTACTCTTGGTATAATATTTTGTGGCTTTTTGTGTTGCATGTCTGTGTTATTGTGCAGAATTGTGACATAGAAGTTGCATTATGTATAGTCACAAAGGTCAGTTGTCAGATGTTTCGGAGTGTTTTTTTCCCCCTAAAATGTGATCAAGCTCTATTGTTTTTCCTTATGACTGGCAGATTGCAGTATAGTGTAGTGGAGTTTTTAGAGCAATGAGTTGGTAAACAGAAAATAAATCTGGTGCTGTTCTGGTAATCATTAATCATTGGGGAAAAATGTTGAAGCAAAAATGCCAAATACTTGATGGTGTAAGCTTCCTATGTTGGATAAACCATTGTTTTTCCTTGTCTTAAAATTAAACTAAACCAAATATTTTGGAGTTTTAGAGTGATGGTCACTGATGGCCATTAAAGCTTGGGTTCTAGGATATTGTGATTGATTTTTGTACGTTTTATTGATCAAATGAGTGAGCAATTAAAAAAAAAAAAAAAAAAGACAAATAAAATTAAAACAAATTCTGCAAATTAACCCATTGTAACACCAAACCTGCTTGTGGGTTTACCCCATTTATCAGAACTAGAAACTGTAACAACGGAAAGAATTGTTGCTTTTCAACCTTCTGATGGTCCTTGAACTACCCATCTGTGCCGCTTCATTGGAAAATTTGACCACATGACTCTTAAAAATCATAAATATTCATCATAATCATCATAAAAATCATTATATTTCATCATAATCACTTTATTCTACCTGTGTTAACAATTGACCATGATCAGAGGAATTAAACTTTTGTTTTTTCTTTTCTTTTTGTTTTTTTCATTTTTTAAAAATAATTTATGGTATCAGAAGTATTTTATTTTGCACAAAAGACATAGGGTTGCAAGGTGGCACAGTTGGTTAGCACTGTTGCCTCGCAGCAAGAAGGTCACCGGTTCACGCCCCGATGGGGCCACCGGGATCTTTCTGCGTGGAGTTTGCATGTTCTCCCTGTGTAGCATGGGTTCTCCGGCTTCTCCGGCTTCTCTGGCTTCCTCCCACATAGTCCAAAAACATGTTGAGGTTAATTGGTGATTGTAAATTGTCTGTAGGTGTGAATGTGAGTGTGCTTGGTTGTCTGTCTCTAAGTGTAGCCCTGTGATAGACTGGCGATCTGTCCAAGGTGTCCCCTGCCTTCGCCCTAGGTAGGCTGGGATAGGATTAAGCGGTATACAGATAATGGATGGATGGACAAAAGACATTTAATTCTCTCTACTCATAAATATGGTTGTGCTGTTTCCATAGAGGTCCAGGACTTTATGTTGCTGTAAAAAATGAGCTCACAGTGAGTAAAAATGTAAAGGGAGCAAAAAACACAGAGCGACTGCTTGAGTTTTCCTTCATGATTGAAATTCACAAACCCAAAGATAGCAGTTTACAATGAATTATGACAATGAAAAGCAGAAAAATCTCTAATTTAAGGTAAAAGATTTATTTAATTTATTGACAACTTTTGCTTCACAAATGACTAAAATTACTGTTATTAGGGTCCGAGGACCCCTACTTGTTATCAAAGTTGTTGCTGATTTCACTGATGTCCATTGTTTTGTAGTGACTGGTGACATTGGATTTTAATAACTGAGGGGTGATCTTTAAATGCACCAAATCTCCTGAAGATACTGAACCACCTGAGGAGACAAACACCTGCAATTTATTTGCTGACGAATAGAGTTAATTAGTGTTGTTGTTGTTTTTTTTTTTAATTTGTCGCTCTTTTAAATTACATTAGTTAGTTATTTTTCTCTTCTGTCCTTTCATGGGATTTGTTACTCATGATGTCAGGTAACACAAGGCATAACCTTTATGCTCTGATTTTCAGCTGGTCTGGTTGTTGTACTTATTTTTATTAACACTTGTTTTCTTGCTCACGGTGTTGCTGAAATGAGAAACCATCATGCTGCTCCATGTTAATTAACCTTTAAAGTTCATCTCTGTCAGAGGTGCAGGCAGTGAGAGACTTTGAATTGCCGTGGTCAATAGAAGTCTGCCCCTCTAATGACTCTCATTGACGATTCGAAGCACAGTGGCTGTGTTTTCAGTCTTGTCTGGCTCAGAGCAGGAGATGTATGGAGGGATGAAGCTGTTGTTGTCACCATAGTAACCTTTGCAATGTGTCTTTTTTTCTGTTTCTTAAAAAGATAGGGAGCATTTAAATTTAGGGATGCACCTGGTTTGTTTTGGTTGATTCCTGTCATTTCGTCATGAACTGATTTTCATCGGTCTACTTTAAATCAACAGATACAGCGTGTGTGTGTGTGTGTTTTTTAAAGTTCCTCCTTCTACCAGAGTTTTGAACTAAGTGTTCACACATGGAGAAGACAGCTCGAACAGTTCTTTCTGTTCTGCCGCTCTAAAATTCCTCACTTACACACCAGGCCTGCTATGTTCCACTTTCCACCGTGAGCCACTATCGGTGCAACTGGAGTGTATTAGATTCTCTATTGGGAATGCGGTGCTAAAAATACTGGCCTGGCTGAAAGTGTACACTGATAGGAGCCTGGACTCGCCGCCCTGTGATGATTCGCCTTCCGCACAGGGTCACTTAGTACTCTGCTGTTTGACTTTACTTCGACTACAAAACCACTGTCCCTACACATTGTGCTTCTGAGCCACATTTGTTCGTATAATAAGTAGATGTGACTGTGTGTGTGTGGGGCCTTGTGTGGGGCAGAAAGATGCTCTTTTTGGATGTAAAAGTTTTTCTTGATAGATATACAGTAGGCTGCATGTGCTGCAGACTCCTTTGGCAGTTACTGTCAATTTGATTGGAAATGTTTATTTTGGAGTAGGATGTACTGAAATTCAAGGATTGTGGGGCGCCATACATGCTTACCTCAGCAGTCATAAGGATCACAAGGAGAGCTGTGGATCTATGTGTAGGTTAGAAAGAGAATTTTTTATTTTTTATTTTCCGAACCTGTACTGCTTTTTAATAGGCTGCAGTTGAAACCCACATTAGAACATTCACCATGCATCTTAAATTCACCTCAAAGTTGTATACTCAGCTCTGCGTAATTGCTGCAGGATGAGCTCTCTGGTTAAGGTCATGGAGTGAAACACTTGTTATTTAGACACTCAGTGATTGGACACTGTGTTTGTGCCAGTTGTCTTGTACTGTTATGCAACAGAAGGTGTAAAATGAGCTGCTGCCACGAAGAGGTGCACGCCTAGCTGTTATACTTCTTCTCCACATGACTGACCAGGTGACCTGATGCGCCCAGCTCAGTGGAGGGTCGGCATGGTAAACAAATACAGTCCTTTCACCAGGCCGCACACTTCCAGCTGTGCCCGTGACTTGTGAACTGTAAAATTGAGACTGGAATGTCCCACTTTGCCCCTGCAAAGGAAAACATTTTTATTACTATCCATACTTGTGTTATGTCACACAGAACACACAGTATGCTTAAGAGTTGGCTGATTTCCAGAAGAAAGATTGAAGACATTTGTAGTATTGTCATCTTTCTTCACTTAGAACCCCCCTGAGTGTAATAGTGTTGGATATATGTTGTAGAAGTTCTCAAGACGGCACTGGATAATTTACAGATGTAGGACACTGGACATTTCTCTAGAGCTGAAACCATTAGTTAATTGATCAATTAACTGATTGAAAGAGACCCATTTATCACATATTATGATTATTGATTACATGATTGATTGTGATGTGTTCAAGCAAAGGAGCCAAAGCCTTTACTGGGTCAAGCTTCCCAGATGTAAGGATATGTTGCTTTTCTCAGTTTTTTGTCACTTTAATTTCATATTATTGTTGTCTGTTAAACAAAGCCACTAATGTGAAACCACCTTTCTAATACTAGAGAAAATGTGATTGATTTTTTTTTTTTTTGAGAAATCATTGGCTAATTAATAATAGTTAGCTGCAGGCTTACATTCATCTCTTGTATTGTGTCATTGTAATACATTAGAATTTGAAATGACAGAGACGAACAAAATGTAACCCGTCTGGGCAGTAGCACAGTTAAGGAATTTCTCATCGAACAGGATCATGTGTCTGGGTGAGGACCGACGAAGCCACAAATCTACTACTGATGCAATACATGACCATTAGTGCTTCATTCCCCTCTCACAGACAGTTTTTATTGCATTAGCCAATGTTTTTTATCCTCTTGAGTTACAGAAGCAACTCCACAAATGAACTCAGCATAACCAAGGATGAGCACAGCCTCCCGTTGATGACAGCAGTCCATATTTGACTGTGGCTCACAGCCAGATATGTGGTTGCTAAACAAAATGTCACTGAAGACAGTCTGGTCTTCATCAAAGCCAGAGACATAACCACATATTTTTCAGTAAAATATCCCTTCTAATTATAAAGAGATCTATTTTTTTTCCATCCTTAAAACCACGTTTGACTTCCTCATGTCTTGTCTAATCCATCAGTCACGTTCAGCAGCTGTAAAGACCCAACAACTGCATAAGATAAATTGTTTTCAGGATTTTTTTTTGTTCACCCCTAAGTTCCACAATAATTTCTTGCCCATAAGAATATTCTGTACATGTCAGCTTTCCTTCCATGCAATATTGTCAATGATTTAATATTTTACTACTAGTTATTTTGTGAGTGATACTCAGAAGGTGTCTAGTTTCTAATGGACCTCTCTGTGTCTGTCCTTGCTTGTCTTTTCAGTTTGTCCCAGCAAGGACATCCGCAACAATGTGACCAACCTCCAGACGCTCGAGAATTGTACTGTGATCGAAGGCCACCTGAAGATCTTACTCATGTTCAGGACCAAGCCAGAGGATTTCCGAGGCCTCAGTTTCCCCAAGCTGACCGTGGTCACCGACTACCTGTTGCTCTTCAGAGTTTACGGCCTGGAGAGCCTCAGCGATCTCTTTCCTAACCTAACAGTCATCAGAGGCAACAACTTGTTCTTTAACTATGCTCTAGTGGTGTTCGAGATGCTCCAGCTGCGAGAAATCGGCCTCTATAGCTTAATGAATATCACCAGAGGAGCTGTGAGAATTGAGAAGAATCCAGATCTCTGCTATCTCTCCACTCTGGACTGGTCCAAGATCCTAGACTCAGTGGAAGACAACTACATCATGGCCAACAAGAATGACCGAGAGTGTGGCGACGTGTGCCCAGGGGTAGCTGTCGGTAAGACCACCTGCCAGACGACCACGATCAACGGACACTTCAGCGAGCGATGCTGGACACAGAACCGCTGTCAAAGAAGTAAGCAGCCTTTTGTTACAATTCTATGCTGATATAGTTGAGCCCTCCTATTATTTATGGTAAAACTGGAGTCAGTCAATCTGTAAATTCACCAAAACCTTATCCAGGGCCATCAAGCATGAACCCGAATTGGTATCAGGGGAAACACAAACATTTCATAAGTGCAGGCAATTACAAAACTAGTTACTGAGCAACGCTGAAAGTAGAAAGAACTAAAACATGTGACGTATGATACAGTTAAATGAAAGTTTAATTTCTTCAATTTTTAATTTTACAAATTAAAAAGAAAAATCTGGAATCAACATGTACAGCATTTTTTCAACTCGGCATACTACACATTTTTACTACCAAGATATTTGGTTACGTGATTGTTGATAACAGCAGATTCACTAATGGTTTCTCGGTTGCAATGAGGAGCACAGAATTTTAGTTAAAGCAGTTGGTTTAGTTTATGTTATTTTATTTTATTTTTGAGACATGCGAAATGAAATGATTTTAAAGAAACATCACAAATTTAAGCTGAGATTTGAACGGCGTGTCATGTTGTTTGATTTCAGTACCATTGGAAAATTCTAAATTGGATGTGTAATTTTTTTCTTTTTTTTGTACAGTTTGTTGCTTCAACAAAAATGCCATAATATTTGCATTTTTATTTATTTATTTCTGTAGATGACATGTCTGTCAAACCAAAATTTTGGAGTTTAGAGGGTTAAGAGAGGTGTTGTATTTTCAATAAATTAAAAAATCGTTATGCAGAGTGGGACTGAAATATTGAAATGTCCTCTGGATAAGAAAAATACCACAGAGTAACAAAATAATTAATGGTTTTGATCATGTTTCAGTTGAAAATTTACTGATTTAGTCATTTTGCTTTTATCTGTTTATGGGAAATATTTGAATTACTGGTCAGAAAAAATAAGCTATTTCTGCCTTTGAGGGTTTTATTGTTTTTTGGTTTGTTCGGAGGTTGATCTTGTTTTTTTTTTCTTCCTTATTTTTGACCTTGGATTTTTTGAACCTTTCCCCTTCGGGGGAGTTTTTTTTTTTTTTATTAATAATGTCATAATCTGTCATCCTTAAGAGATCCATCATTGGCTTTTTTCAGACCTTTTTGTACATCATTCTTTATCAGGAGATGGAGTTTGTTCAATTCTGTCCCATTTTTGTCAACTACACGTCATTACATTCAGAGTCTTTCTAACATTAATGCGTTGACTCTTTAAAATTGCCTACTATTACATTATTGTCACATACATTTTTGCCAGGAATTAGTGGCAGCTCCTTCTGTAGTTCTTCCCAGCAAGTTTCCGTTAACACATCATTATTTCCAGTCCCCTCTGCTTTACTCACAGGTCTAACCAGTCTAACATTCACAGAATTCAGCCCCATTTGAATCAAAACCAATGAGGGACACTGTTTGAAATAAAAATACTTTCCCGTTCCTGTCAATATGCATGTTAAATAGCTTGACAAACAGTTGTCGTGTCCCTTTTTGATGTTGAAATGTCAGAGCTGTGTCATGTGCTAGGTTTAGTTAAGTAGGCCAAATTCTGAGTCAATCCAGCTCTCTAATGTGATGCAACACCTCACCAGTTAGTCTGTGAATGTTTACTCTCTACAGACTGTAGTGTTGTTGTTGCTTACATTGTGTAGAAAAAGTAAAGAAGATATAAGACATCATGGCACATTTCTCATAGTCTCCCATTGGAAGCACAGTTCCTGCTCTGTTGCAGCTTTTACAGTAAAACATCAGGCCCACCCATTTCACACTGTCAAAGAGTTCAAGTTCAAGTGCTGAGAAGAATTTTGCGCATGGGTGCTGTCTGAACACCTTGACTTGTTCCATTACACAACACTGCATACATTACTTTAACAACTCTTTTGAACCAGTTTCTCAGCACATCTGCCTTTTCAAGCTCTTTATCATTGTTTGTTTGAGCCACATGCAGTTTCTGTAGAGCCAAGCAAAGCCCATTATTATGCTCTGCAGTGTCTTTGCCACTGAAGAGTATCTTTGTTGTTTTCCATTAACGACTTTGTGCTTGAGGTCACTTACTCATCAGAAATCCTTGGAGACATTAGCAGAATAAGCCCAGAAGACCCATTGTCAAACTGTGGTGTTGTGGTAAATGTTAATGTGGAAGTGTTGTATAGAAAGTCTCACAGCAGAGATGATTTCCTGTTTGTGTGCCATTTTGTAACGATGAATCAAGACCAGATGCTGACTGGAGTGGCAAACACTGATCTCCAATCATGGGCCAGCATTCTGCACGGGCAGGACCTGTGGTCTTGTGGTCTGGGACCTGCGGTTTTTTGCCTACTTTCACTAAAGCATGAAAAGAGCTGTTAAGCCCCAGCTGGAACCGCAGGACAGAGTGCGAGGCATTCTGTGTCCTCTTCAGATATACCATGTTACTGCTTTTTATAGCGTATCTCTCCAAACTTGCTGCTTTCTTTATTTCTATCCCCTTCTGGATTCAGATATGCTGATGGTGTAACTTATGTAATTCTTCCAAAGTGACATATGCATGTATGTATTTAATATACGTGACTGAACTGAAAGCTAAAGTAGTTTAAAGTAAAATAAGAGAATTGATTGCCATATTCATTTTAATTCCTCTTTCAATAGCAAAGGTAACTAAAATTTGTTATGTTACATTTAAAGAAAACTTTGCGTTGCAGACGATAGGCAGTGGTTAAGTGCTTTAAGTGCCGGAGGTGATTGTGGGTCACACAACCTTTGTGTAGTGTGTATACCAACAGAAAACAAAGCTGCACCACCACGAAGCTTGGCTTAGGTCCCATGTTTAGAGTCACAACCCATTTCCCTTCCCTGCTTCTATAACAGCGGTAATTTGAGCTTCTCCAAGAGCGACCGCTGCTAATTTCCCCTCCTTTTTACTCCAAATTGGTCAGCAAAGTGGCAAAGCAAGGTTGCAGGAGACGGTCATTACCAAATTTGATTAGATTTAGCTACAGGCACAGACAAACACACTCCATGTCAACAGCTTTAATCAAGGCAAACACAAGGCAGCAGGCTTCATCTTTCTCATGTTCGCAGTGTTTAAATTCAGTCCAAATTATGTTATGGACTTTTATTAAAGATAAATGCCAGACAAACTTGCACATCAGACATTCATATAAAGCGCTTTCCGAACTGTTTCTGTGTTTCTGTTGTTTTTTCATGTCACTAATTAGTGAGTCATTAGTCATATAGTTTTCATTGGCTTTTTTGATTTCTACTGAACCCTCTGAACGTCAAGCAGTTTCTCTGCCCTTTTTTTTTTTTTTTGCACCTGTCACATTTCCCCTCACTGTGGGCTTATTTTTCACTGCAATATAAAGTCCTACACCTCTATTGGAATGGCACAAAATGCCAGTATGACGCTGGTAGAATGCCATAAATCATAAAAAACACATGAAAGATAAATTCTTTGACTAGTCACTTTCCAAAAAACCCAAAACAAACTCAATACGTACAAACAGCAACGTACTACTCTGCACATCAACCAAGGTTTTTGATTTCTTCCCACTGTTACAAAGTGCTTGCTCAAAGAGAATCTAAAGGAAACTTTGGATTTGTTGGGCTTTTCTGTTAGAATTTGTAAAGTTTTCACTAAATGGATCTAAATGGATATGGAAATGTGTATGTAGTCTACACAAGGGTAATGCATGCAGTAGTTCCGCCTGTGACGCCCAGTGTAGTATAAACGGGATCTCAAGCACATCAAACATCTGTGTCCCTGTCCATTTTGTAGAATATCAGGGCTTTTAGTGTCACTCCAAAGAAAAAGAAAAATGATAAATTTGATGGAAAACAAAGCAGGCCTTTATTTCTTGAAACAGAGATGAAGTTGTGAGCTCGTGTCAAAGGAAATAATACAGTTTGATCTGTTCTCTTTCAATGAAAGTATATTTCCTGCCAACCCTCATTTAGAGATAATAGGCATTTGATTATGTTTTGGTAATTGCCGTTAAGTGGCGCCGCCTGTTTGGCTGTGAGAAGATTAGCCTGAGTCTTGAAAGGGACTGGCAGCTGAAAATATTGGCTGTAAATCAATAAAAAAATCAGGGCCTTCCTCTTTGGGATCTCATTTTTATCCACTGTTGAACTGCACTGACAGACATACTACAACAATGTCTACCAAATTTATCTATAGTTTGACAATTTGACAATTTCAGAAAAATTTTGAAGTGGCTGCAAAACACCAGGAGCATCATCAAAGTCTGGCCCCACCATGACTACATTTTCAACATCAACTCCTGCAATTCTATTAAGCGACTTCTGGACACACATTGACAGTATTTAGATAGATACAATAGATAGATACAACTTTATATGTACAACTGTATTTGTTAATACAGACGCTTTTTCTGTACTTTTCCACTTTGCTTTAATTTTAGGAACACTTCCTGTGATGAAGCTAATGGAGCCAAACTGCTTTACTCACATTAATTAAAACTGTTTAGTACAATAATTAGTTGGTTTGTAGCTTTTTGACCTTAAAGTGAAACATTTTATTGTGATGCAGTTTTCAGCTACATCGCCCAGCCCTATGCCAGCTTCCCTAAAAAGGCAAGTTTAATGTTCTTTTTGTGATCAAATCCAGCCTCCTTTTTTTTTCATAATGAAGTGGTCTCTGTTGCAAGCCCTTCACCAAGGCCAGAGCGATACACAGTAAATGAGCTTACATATCCCCGGTGGCTTGTATTCTACACACATTATTAAAAGTGATCGTGAATATCTACCCTCTGCGGATATGAGACACTCCGCCTCCTCCTCAGCCACCACAGCAGCTTTCACCAATGTTTGGGTTTGTAAAGTCTCTTGCATATTTAATAAGCTCCCATAAGATGGATCGCAGCTGTTAGCAGACACCTTAGCCTCTGATTGGTTTGGCAATTTGCCGCATGTGTGCCTCTTTAGTCTGTGGCCTGAGTGTGAACGCTGCTGGTTTCATACACACTCCCACAATTGGATAATTGCTATAAATCAGTCT